GGCCAACTCCTCCATTACCATGTTAGAAAATAGTATAATGGAATCTACTCTTGAGTTCCACAAGACACACTGTCAGGTAGGATAACACTTCTTGCTAAAAATGATGTGAAACAAGCAACCAAATGTATTTTTGCCTTTTTAAAAACATTGAAAAACCTCATGTTTTTACTAAATTATTATCTCTATTCACAAATCAATGATTTCTGAATCTTTCCCTCCTTAATAGAATATTTTTAAATTTTTAAAAAAATTTTCTTCACCAGAAGCATATAGTTGAAGAAGAGAATATTTTAAAAAAAGCTTTGCATATCTTATAGGCATCAAAACAAATTGATTTTCAGAGACCTGGAATCTAGAGCAAAGAGGAAATAAATGCAAAATGAGTAATTGTTCCGTGTGAAGGAAATGATCCTATCTCTCTCCTCATCTCAGTGTCACTTACAATGCCACACAAAATAGAGTAACAGCATTATTCATATTACAGATCTGTCATCTCAGGATCCTGAAGCACTTTTATTCTATTCTATTAAAATGAGAACAATATGTAATCAAATTCTTTTCAACAAATGGGGCTGGGACAATTGGATATCCACATTTAAAAGAATGGAGTTGGACCTCTATCCCATATCATATAAAAAAATTAACTCAAAAAGGATCCAAGACCTTAATGTAACAGCTAAAGCAATAAAACTCTTAGAAGCAAGCATAGGCATACATCTTCATGACCCTGGATTAGGCAATGGGCTCTTAGATATGACACCAAAAGCACAAACAACAAAAAGATAACCTGGACTTCATCAAAATTGTGCTTCAAAGGATACTATCATAAAAATAAAAAGTGACCTGAAGAATGGGAGAAAATGTTTGCAAATTTCATATCTGATATCTACAATATATAAAGAACTCCTGCAACTCAATAATAACAAATAACTGAAAAATTGGCAAAGGATCTGAAATAGGCAATTTTCCAAAGAAGATATGCAAATGGCCATTATTAACCATCAGGAAATTGCAAATCAAAAGCACAATGAGATACCACTTCACTCCCACTGGGATGTCTATAGAAAAAAAAAGGGTTGATGAGAATGTGGAGAAACTGAAACGCTCACATGCTGCTGGTGAGAAAGTAAAATGGTATAATCACTCTGAAAAACAGTCTGGCAGTTCCTTAAAACGTTAAACACAGAGTAATTATATGTACTAACAATTCCACTACTAGATGTGGACCCAAGATAACTGAAAACATTTGTCCATAAAAAATGTGTACACAAATGTTCATAAAGTATTATTAACAGCCAAAAAGTAGAAACAACCCAAATGTCTATCAAATGATTAAAAAAAATAGAATGTAGTATATCCATACATGGAATATTATTCAGCAACAAAAAGTGCTGATGCATGCCAGAACACAGCACGGATAAACTTTGAAAACATTATGGTAAGTGAAAGAAGCCAGTCATAAAGGACCACAAGGTATTGTATGATTCCATTTATATTGAATGTCCAGAACGGGCAAATCCAGAAAGTCAGAAAGTGGACTGGTGGTTGCCTAGGGCTGAAAGGTTGGTGAGAAATGGGGAACGACTGCTAATGGGTACAGTGTTTCCTTTTGAGGTGATGAAATGTTCTAGAATTAGTGGTTACAGCTGCACAACTCTAAATAAATTAAAAACCACTGAACTGTACTCTCTTTATTTTTATTTATTTTTCTGAGACAGAGTCTCACTCTGTTGCCCGGGCTAGAGTGCAGTGGCACGATCTCAGATTACTGCAACCTCTGCCTCCTGGGTTCAAGCGATTCTCCTGCCTCAGCCTCCTGAGTAGCTAGGATTATAGGTACCTGCCACCACACCCGACTGATTTTTATATTTTTAGTAGAGACAGGGTTTCACCATGTTGGTCAGGCTGGTCTCGAACTCCTGACCTCATGATCCACCTACCTCGGCCCCGCAAAGTGCTGGCATTACAGGCCTGAGCCACTGTGTCCGGTCTACTTTTATTGTTTATAATTGTTTTTAGTTTAGTTTTACATTGCAGGAGAACTGCATACTTTAAATGGGTGAACTGTATGACATGTGAATTGTATCTTAATAAAGCTATTTTTTTTAAAGGGACGAGCAATCATATAGCATAATTTAACATTGAAATCACAAATCCAGAAAAAAAAATGTTCTCTATATAAAACTTTCAACACTGTCTTGGATAATAAAATTTCTGAAAAATCTCAATATTTTGTTTAATGACAAACTTTTGGTTTACTTGCTGATTTTGTTTACTGTTTAGCAATCTGGAAACCTGACCATCAGTTACGTGCTAAAAAACTATCTCCCTTCTCAACTGCAGTTTTCACTCAATGAAAAACTACATACAATGAGGACACCAATATGATGGGGGTAGGATGATGCTGTGGAAAGACTAGAAGTCAGAAGACCTGGTTTTATATTGGGGCCCCATCATTTGCTGACTGTGTGCTCTTAGATTTGTCATTGTACCTTTCTCAGATTTAGGTTCTTCACTGGCAAAAGGGAGATTAAAATCTCTACCCTATTTACCTCACAAAGCTGTGAAGACAAAATGAGAGCGTGGAGGGGCTGTGAATGTGCTTATTTCTCATATGACTGTAGAAAGCACTTAAATTTTAACAGAAGATCACTGGGTTTTAATTTCAGAAGATCACTGGGTTTTAATTTCAGAATTTAAGGTAATTGGTTTGCCCTCCAACTTTTTACTCAAGGTTATGTTTTTCCTGCCTTACTAGTTAATATACCATTCCAACTCTCCCTTCATTCCTCTCCTTTTCAGAAAATTCTAGAATCTAAAACCTTTCCCTCCCAAATACAGAATAATCCTTAGGATCTCAGACAGTCCTTTTCTTTAAGCCAGTGTTTTCCAAACTTTCTTGAGGGAAAGCAGTCAACAAGATACTGTTTTTTAAAGCTTTCAAGGTCTAATTAGTTTGGAAAATATTAAACAAAAGACTCTTCTAAGCTTTTATTATGATACTATGTGTGGTGAATGTTAGAGATGAATATCATATTCTATGTCTTCCAACATGTATAGCTTCCTTTGCTTAGGTGGTGTTCCTCAGAACAGTCCAAAAATGGTTACTTCAGATAAGCATGGGATATATATGTACACATATACATATTCTGGCTCTTCAAGCTTCTCAGAATGAAAAGCAAGATACTAAATGAGTTTTTCAATGCTGGTTATTACTTCCTGGTAGCAAATTAGGTATATAAAGATTTGTGATTACTCAATCAGATGATTAGGCCTCCATTTAAGGTATTGTAGCCACAGACTAATGGGACAGCAGTAGTCACACACTAAAATCCCTTCAGCTGTAAGCAGTAATCACTGTGTAAAGCTACTGATTATAAGACATCTGGAAGAGGTAAAAGAAGAGCATATTTACATTCCAATGTTTTATAAAACACTGTGCTGGCCAGACAAAACATATAAGCAGGCTGAACTTGACCCCTGGGTAACAAATTTGGATCCACTGTTTGTAAAGTATTTCACTAAACTTTTAACATACTAGCAAAAAGGACCATTCATTTATCGAGCTATTCCTCACCTTCTATATGCCAATCACTGTCACTTTTATGCAGTTTTATATTTTAGAACCTAAGTCCCTGTTGTACTATTAGATTGGCAGAGATGACATATAAACAGATCCGATGTAGTAATACTTTGATGGAATTATAAATAAGGTATTGTGAGATCACTGAAAAAAGGGAAATAGAAGTAAGGGATTAGAGGAAATAGGGGATATTCCATGCAAACGGGGCTATTACTGTTATAAGCATATAGAAACTAAAGAAAGTGAAATAGAGCTTAGTTTGACAAGACTGCAGGGTTCCTGGGATGGACAGGCACTGGGAAACTTCTTTATTCAGTGCCAGGAACTGCACTCAATTCTGGGAATAGCTGAAATGAGAAAAACAAAGAAAAACACACTTCTCTCAAGGAGGTTGGTCTATGGGTAAAGATAAACAAGAAACTGAAGGATGGTAACAGTGGATAAATGCTGTGACAGATATTTACGTGAGATGCTATGGGTGAATACAGTTGACCTTGCAGGTCATGACAAAGATTTTGAACTTTATCCTAAATTATGAGGAGCCCTGAAGTTTTCTTGAAGAGGTGAGATGACCAAATTTGCATCTTAGAGAGACACTGACAGCAGTGTGGAGAGCAGGGGAGAGATAGAAGGGAGCAAAAGTACTTTTACCAACAATCCAGTTTTCTGTAACGTGAACTGCAGACTAGGACCAGATTATAATGAAAAGAAACAAACCAAAATATTTCAAAATATTATATTTTACCTATGCAGAATCTAGAAAATAAATACATCTCAGACACTGACTCTACCTTCAATGAATGACATAGCCAGGCAAAGAATTAAGTTGTCACCTGCAACTTATCTGACCCTCCTTGCCTCCACACACACCCACCCCGCACCTTACACTCCTCTTGTATTCTCGGCTGAATTTCTGTGTTATTAGGGCTGGGGGTATTCTGGATGTATAAAAGGGTGAGTGGGAAAATAAGAGGGTAACTGCTACTGGATAAGATATTTATACATGGCTTAATACCGCAGACTATTCTTTCACCACCTACAAGGGAAAAACCAGATTTCAACCTGTTTTGTTGAAAAGACTCTTGTTAAGGTAAGAACCTGAGAATGTACATGTTAATCAAGTTTTCAAAGGCAAATCAAAAAAGCCTTTCAATGAGTCATCAAGGTCAAACCTTCTTCCAAGGACATACAATCTGATTGGGGAGTTTCCATCTCTGATCCGTAAAAAAAATCTTTCTTGCTATTTAGGTTAAGAAATAACCCCAGTTCTCCGATCTAATACACAAGGCTACTATGGAACATACTAAACTCAAAATTTTAAAAACCTTGTAACTTCAGTGTATCTGTGAAAGGTTTGTGATTTGCTAAACAGAATATCATGTCACCTAGGAAAAGATATAATTTAAAGAAGGCTTACTTTTTCCTCCCCTTCATTGTTTTGACAACTTGAGGTCTACCAAGATAAAATAATATTTTAATACTAGTACAATTATAACTTAGCTTTAAAGAAATTTTACGTCAAGACATCCTATTAGTGAAGGCAATTTATTTCCAATTAAATTTTTTCTACCAAAAAAGAAAAATGAACATTTGACTTGTTTTAAAGCACAATAAGGTAATATTATATATGTACCTATTATGTATGTGTTTTAATATAACAATGAATTGCCTATTCCATTCACACTATAAACGCTAAAATCAAAAGACCGTTTTCAGAGGATCAGATGTAATCTTTGCCATACTAATCATTGATTCTAATAAAATGGAGCCTATGTTAAATAGAGCTGGTGAATCAGAGGTAGCAAAATGGTAACCCAAGGGGAAAATGTGGCCCACAGAGAGGTCTTCATGAGTCTGGACCGAGTGTGTTTCTTTCTTTTTTTTTTTTTCAGACAGAGTCTCACTCTGTCACCCAGGCTGTAGTGCAATGGCATGATCTTGGCTCACTGCAACCTCCGCTTCCCGGGTTCAAGCAATTTTCTCAATCCTCATGTCAGCCTCCCAAGTAGCTAGGATTACAGGCATGCGCCACCATGCCCAGCTAATTTTTGTATTTTTAGTAGAGACAGGGTTTCACTATGCTGGCCAGGCTGGTCTCAAACTCCTGGCCTCAAGCAATCCACCTGCCTTGGCCTCCCAAAGTGCTGGAATTATAGCCATGAGCCACCAAGCCTGACCTCAGCCTGTGTTTTAACTGACTTGGTATCAATGTTTACAAACTAGAAGACTTCCTATAAAATTCAGGTTTCTACCTTCCCTTGAAAATCTCGTAGATACTGGTTCCAAACTGTGGCTCAAACAAAATAACTGCTCTCTGATTTCCAATTTACTACTATACCCAGCCAGTTTCATTTACGATTTTTGCCCAGATCCTATAGGCATCTGAATTCGTGAACTCATATACGATGACTATATAGTTTGCTAACCGAGGAAGATGAAAATCAGAATTTATTTCCTAACATAATGAAGTTGGTCCACATAGATATTTACTTTTAAAATCTGAACTCTGGCTGGGTGTGGTAGCTCACGCCTGTAATCCCAGCATTTGGGAGGCCAAGGTGGGCGGATCACCTGAGGGCAGGGGTTCAAGACCAGTCTGGCAAACATGGTGAAACCCTGTCTCTACTAAAAGTACAAAAATTAGCTGGGCATGGTAGCGCGTGCCTATAGTCTCAGCAACTCGGGAGGCTGAGGCAGGAGAATCACTTGAACCTGGGAGGTGGAGACTGCAGTGAGCCGAGACTGCATCACTGCACTCCAGCCTGGGTGACAGAGCAAGACTGTCTCATAAATAAATAAATAAATAAAATATGAAGTCTATAAATGCAAATGCACTGCTATGCCACAGAGTGTTGTGTGCTATGTTGCTCTAGTGCAGGGAAAAAGGGGTTGTCAGAATCACAGTCCTTTCCTTTTCTCTATTTTGGCAGAATGACTGCCAAATAAGAATGAAACCTCTATTTTAAATATCTCTGAGGTTTCCAATAACTCTACTAAGTTACTCTTGACAGCACAGAACTATTAACTTTCACTAAATTTAAGTAGTAAAAAATTTAGGGCCAGGTATGGTGGCTCATGCCTGTAATCCCAGCACTCTGGGAGGCTGAGGCAGGTGGACTGCATGAGCTCAGGAGTTTGGAACCAGCCCTGGCAATGTGGTAAACTCTCGTCTGCACAAAAAATACAAAAATTAGCCAGGCATGGTGGCACATGCCTATAGTTCTAGCTACTTAGGGGGCTGAGGTGGGAGGATTGCTTGTGCCCAGGAGGTCAAGGCTGCAGTGAGCCATGTTCGCACCACTGTACTCCAGCCTGAGTGACAAAGGGAGATTCTGTTTTAAAAAAAAAAAAAAATTAAGTTACAATAACACAAGGAGAATAGTTTTTCCACTCAAATAGACATCTATCAGTATCAAATGATACGCTAACTCTTAAATTATATGGTTGTGATGAAAATGCCTTTTTTGAGAAACATCGAACACTTTTTGAAAAATAAACTTTTTGCCGGGCGCAGTGGCTCATGCCTATAATCCCAGCACTTTAGGAGGCTGAGGAGGGTGGATCACCTGAGGTCAGGAGTTTGAGACCAGCCTGGCCAACATGGCGAAACCCTGTCTCTACTAAAAATACAAAAAAATAGCAGGGCATGGCAGCGCATGCCTGTAATCCCAGCTACTTGGGAGGACCAAGCAGGAGAATCACTTGAAGTTAGGCAGCAGAGGTTGCAATGAGCTAAAATTGCCCCACCACACCCCAGCGTGGGCAACAGAGTGAGATTCCATCTTAAAAAAAAAAAATGAACTTTTCTTGCAGCTTTCCTTTTCAACTCTTACTGCAACCATACTGCTTCACTCATGGATATGTCTTTTTATAATAAATCAAGATATATCACTCTTAATGTTGTATTATTAGAAAGTATGGGCCGGGCACAATGGCTCACACCTATAATCGCAATACTTCGGGAGGTCGAGGTGGGTGGATCACTTGAGGCCAGGAGTTCAAGACCAGCCTGGCCAACAGATGAGGTGAAACATCACCTCTACTAAAAATACAAAAATTATCCTGGCGTTGTGGCAGGTGCCTCTAATCCCAGCTACTCGGGAGGCTGAGGCAGGAGAATTGGTTGAACCTGGGAGGTAGAGGCTGCAGTGAGTGGATATGGCCACTCTAGCCTGGGCAACAGAGTGCGACTCCATCTCAAAAAAAAAAAAAAAATATGTTTGTAGTTAGTAAATTATGACTTTGTTCTGATCAGAACCTCTGCTTGCTCTGAGACATACAGTGTTCTGGCTTTTCCTGATTGCTGTTTTTCTTCCCAGAAGGTGCCTTGTCTGTGCTTTCCCCTCAAGATGCTACAGGTCAGGCCGGGCGCAGTGGCTCCTGTAATCTTAGCACTTCGGGAGGCCAAAGCCAGAGGATCACTTGAGCTCAAAAGACCAGCCAAGGCAGCATAGTGAGACCTCCCACCTATCCAAAAAGTTTTAAAAAACTAGCCTCTGTGCTGGTGCGTGCCTGTGAGTCCCAGCTACTGGGGCTGGGGGCTAAATGGGGAGGATCGTTTGCGTCCAGCAGTTCAAGGCTACAGTGAGTTATGATCACACCCCTGCTCTCCAACCTGGGCAACACAGCAAGACCCTGTCTCAAAAAAAGATGCTACAGGTCTTTTGGTGACAGGGCTAATTTTACAGGTAATTGTTACTATGTAATCTTCTGAGAGTAAGCTGTTCAAGAAAGCAGTTGTTTTTTGTTGGCAAAGCTTTAGTACTTTCTGTTTTTCATCTTGCAGGAGAATAGAGAGGTTGCCAGAATCATGGGAAGATACTCCCTGTTTATGCCTTTTTTTTTTTGAGACAGTGTCTCACTCTATCACCAAGACTGGAGTGCAGTGGCGCGATCTCGGCTCACTGTAACCTCCACCTCCCAGGTTCAAGCGATTCTCCTGCCTTAGCCTCTCAAGTAGCTGGGACTACAGGCGCCTGCCACCACGCCCGGCTAATTTTTTGTATTTTTAGCAGAGACGGGGTTTCACCATGTTGGTCAGGCTAGTCTCGAACTCCTGACCTCAAGTGATCCACCTGCCTCAGATTCCCAAAGTGCTGGGATTACAGGTGTCAGCCACCATACCCAGCCTCCTTGTTTATTCTTAAAGTATCCATTTTACTTGAAGATAGGCAATTTACATTTTTCTTTATTAGAATAAAGATACAATATGAAGTATGATACAAAACTCACATGAACTTAAGATAACATACAGATTTTATCTGAACTATTTACTGCTCAAGAGCACACTAAGAATCTACTTCTGACCCACTGGTGAGAATGCACCTGACCCCAAGTAGCTTTCTGCAGGCTCTAATTCCAGATCCCTTCCTTAGCACCTATGAAGCACTGTGCTGTTTTCTGCAAAGGTCCAAAATCACAGAAAACAGACATCTTGAGTTTCTGTCAAGTTTAAACATATCTAAGATAGTCAGGAAGCTGAGGCTACCATGGCTGCCAACATGCAGCAAGGCAGGGCTCAGCAGGCTCCACCTAGAATTATATTCTAGTCCTGCAGCCTGCTGTTTGCCCTGTATCACCTCAGTGGTCTCAGTGCCTCCCTAGGGACACACTGCCTAGACCAAAAAAGTTGAGGCCTGGAACTCCTTGACAATGATTGGGAAAACAGAGCATGAGCACTGCCTCGGTTCCACTGTGGCAGACTTATCTGTGCGTGAAAGTCTAGCATCATTCCACCAATCTGTGCACTTAAGAGGACCACAATCATCCTGCAAAACAATACGGATTGCCTGCTTTACCAAGATCCAGATTGTGAAACTAAAGAGACTGTCAGCTGGGGGTTGGCAAGGCCTCAAAGGTAGCATCCAGAGACCATGGGGCTACTTGGCCATTCTGGCCCCTTTGGGTATCATGTTTCTGAGTCCCGGAGACTAGCCTTGAAGCTGCTGCTTTATCTAAGGAGGAGATGGATGTATGATATCATGTCATTATTCATTTGGTAGCTGAATAAGAATTTAAGTATATTTTCCCAGAGGTCTTGTACCATGTATTTCTTTGATTAAAGTGTTTTAAACAGTAGACTTGGCATTTATTGAGAATGTGCTCCCAAATGGTGGCATCTGCAGTACAAGTCAGCTAAGATTGCTAGTGCTGCTTAGAAGTCTCAAGTAATTCAAGTGTAGGATTAATCTCCTAAAGCTGGAATTGGGTCAAAATTAAAATTGCAAAGCCACAGGCCAAGCAGTGTCAATTCTCAATCTGTGGGGCTGCTGAGGCTCCCAAACTGCCTTCCAGAGAAATCAAAGAGCATTATTTTTAATCTAATGGTTGGAAATATCCTTCCCAACAAGCAGGGGTGGGGTAGGTCTCCAAATTAAGGAATACTGGTAAATAACTCTCAGTCATCTCTTTCAGCATCAGGGGGAAAATGCAAATAGGATTTTTATCATTGTAAAATTTATATTTGTGAAAGCCTTGTTCAATCAACTGCAATTTCCACACATAAAAAAAATCACATGTAAGAATGACTGCCAAATAGAAATAAAAATAACAGCTAACCTCTTTATTAGTGCTTTTTAGGTGTCAAGCACGATGATAACTGCAATATATGCACTAAGCATCCTCTCATTTAATTATCAAAATAATCTAAAGCAGGTATTTTCTTCACTCCATTTTACAATGTGGAAGTAGTACAGCCTAAGAGTGGATTATGAAATCACTATGTTAATGCTGCCTTCTCCCATCCAAAAGTGCCACTTTATATTAGTAACTTATCAATTTGGATCACAATTTTTAGCACAATCTCAGCACATTTTTAAAAAAGCAAATACTCATTAAAGAATACAGAAGCAGTAAAAAGAGATCCTAATAAAGGAAAGTAAATACCATGATTAAAATTATTTTAATCTTTACATAATGGCTTTACATAATTAAGTTTTACATAATGGCTTCAAAAGACTGGCCAGATTCCATGTTATCTATAATAAACAGCCAAATATCTGCTGGCTGCGAGACCAAATAACTATTATCAGCAAAAATGGTAAAATAGGACATGCACCACAGGAGAGAGGAACCATGCAGTTTTACCTATCCTATAAACAGACTTTCAGTCACTGACAATGCCACATTGAAGCTAATATAAGAACCTGAACAAAGTTAATTTGACCAAATATTGTCGGCCTTTATGATCTCAAAACTATGCCCTGCAGATAAACATTAGCTAATTTCTTCTTAAATACTTAAATGAGGTTCTGAAATGTATTATAGTCCTGTAAAACACAAAACTGCTAAGGACTTAAAGTGAGCAATTTAAAAGTATTATTCATATCATTCACATCATAATTTGCTAACCTTGAAGATAATTTTGAAAATCCCATTTTTTAATCTTTGAATAAGTGCTTAAATATTTATTTGATGATGATTAACAATTTCAGTGAAGCATTAACAAGCTCATGGACAAGAATCAAGCTTCAGTTCCCAAACTACTTACTGGAGCCTAAGCAAGCCAGGAATTTAACACAATAGGAAGAACCAGGGATTGTATGCTCCATCTAAGACATTAAAAAATCAATTAGAGGCCAGGGATGGTGGCTCACATCTGTAACCCTAACACTTTGAGAGGCCAAGGCGGGCAAATCACTGGAGGTCAGGAGTTCGAGACTAGCCTGGCCAAAATGGTGAAACCCCATCTTCACTAAAAATTAGTTGGACATGGTGCGGGGGGCCTGTAGTCCCAGCTACTGGGGAAGCTGAGACACAAGAATCGCTTGAACCCAGGAGGCAGAGATTGCAGTGAGCCAAGATCGCGCCACTACACTCCAGCCTGGGCATGGAGCGAGAATCTGTCTCAAAAAAAAAAACAAAAAACAAAAAATAAATCAATTAGAAAACAAAAATGTAATGTGGGCTACCGAACACTTGTCTGTAGGCGGCTAAATTGGCCACAAGTTTGTAACTCCCACATGAAAGCTTAGAACCAGAATCTGAAGCTGTTTTCCTAATATAATTGCTTCCTGTCACAGACAGTCTATGTAACAGATTATAAATTTTGATGAGAGCAATGTAGTTTATATACAGGTGATACTCATCTTGTCACATATTTACATGTCCTGAGTGGGAATTAACCATAACATAGAAATAATTTGAATTTAAAAAAAAAAAAAGAAATAATTTGAATATTTTAAAATGTCTTTGTTTTTGCTTATAAGATCATAGATAATTGTTTTAGTACATATAAATGAACTACCGCTATTGAAATGGCATTTTACCTGCTTAAGAAATCGGTCAGATGCGTGGCTGTGCTTAGCTAATACGCTTGGCAGAGCAGGATTGGCATACTCAAACTGAGGATTGTAGGTATAGTCAGATTTGAAGAATCTCAGTTTTTCTTTCTCTAAGTTGGTGGGTTTTATAGCAGTCAGTATACAAAATTTCTTCCCAGAAAAGTCATCTCCCTTTTCAAAGCTTCTAGACAGCTGAGGCTGTGGCTTTGTCTTTGAAAGAGTGGAGAAATGGCACCACTTGACCTTGCTTTTGGGTTTAGGTGGCAGTACTATGCCATTCCCTGTAACAGAGATATCATGTGTAAACTTTACAGGACTCGACACTGAACTAGTGACAAAAACAGCAGGCCGCCTCTCCAGGCAGTACCAAGTACCACTGCTTGTCACCGGCACCAGGGCTTTCATCCTGCGAGGATCTTTGCTACGAGAAGTGTTAGGAGATTTGCTGGTTTTTCTACATCTTTTGGAGTAGGTGGAGGAAGACTGTTTTTGTGAGTGATACTTTTTTTCCTCCTTGCTCTGTAGTAGGACATTGTAACTACTGGTTCCAGTTGTGAAAATGTCTTTTAGCACTCCCGAGGATAAATGTGAAATGCTTCTTTTGCTGTCAATGATGAATGAATCTTCTGCATTTAGAATAGACTTCTTAGCAAGTTCTTGCTCAGGCCAGTGAAGCTTTTCTGTGTTAATAAACAAAATCAAAACAAAAGAAATAACAAAGATACCAGATGAAGCAAATTGTTTATTAGGAAAGGTATTCTGAAGATTCTTTAAACTTCGTAATTTTGCAATAATCATTAGAAAAAAACATTTTAAATATTAAAAGGATATATTACTAAACTTTGGTCATGCTAGATACTGTCATTTCTCTTCTCTATGAGTATATATAAGTTAAATTATCTATAAAAATCCTTAGCTTCAAACCATTTAGATGATCAAAGTCTAATATGTGAGATAATATACATAAATAATCTGAATACTTGATTCTACAAAAGAATGTAGATTTCGGCTGGGCACAGTGGCTCACGCCTGTAATCTCAGCATTTTGGGAGGTCGAGGCAGGCAGATCACTTGAGCAGGAGCTGGAGACCAGCCTGGCCAACATGGTGAAACCCTGTCTCTACCAAAAAATACAAAAATTAGCCAGGTATAGTGGTGGGCCCCTGTAATCCCAGCTACTCAGGAGGCTGAGGCATGAGAATTGCCTGAACCCGGGAGGCAGAGGTTGTTGTGAGCTGAGATTGTGCCACTGCACTCCAGCCTGGGTGACAGAGTGAGACCTTATCTCAAAGAAAAAAAAAAAAAAAGAATGTGGATTTCATAGAAAGCATATATTTTAAAATAGTATTTGCAGTAATAAAGTAAAATCCAAGGCACTTTCAAAGGTAATACAATCTTGAAATTTGGAAATATATAAAAGGTAGCTATCAGTAAAAGAAGAACAACAAAGCCTTATTTACTCAAAAACCACTGTTAAGATTAAACAGATGGCATCTTCAAGCATGTTTTAGTAATGTCACTAGTATGAATAACTGGTAATTCTAAGCTGTATGTTAAGGTTAAAGAAAAACAAGCCTTTTTTTCTTGGCAAGTTAGAAAAGCAAATTTTAAGAACTATTACAAAGGTATTAATATATCAAATGGCAAGTGAAGGAGAGGGCAGCTTTGTTTTTAGAACTCGCAAGTGCTTTAAACAGGTAAGAATCACTGGATATACTGTTGAGCATTCACTACTTTAAAACTGTGTTGATCTGCATTCTTTCATTCAACAAATACGTAGAATACTACTGATTCAGCACATGGCTCTGATAAACAACCGTATAAACACATTGTTCTTACCAATAACCAGCTTCTAATCTGGCTCTGAAGACAAGGCATTCCTATGAAGATTTCAACAATAATACAATGTAGTATATAATTAAACACGAAAAACAAAAGACTCAAACAATAACCTATAGTTTAGATGAGGAAGAAAGCAATGTGAAGAGAAACAGATGAGGAGATTTCAAGTAGACCCTTGAGGGTTTTCAGACTCCATTCTAAACTGATGAAGTTTGTCTTAAATACATCTCATCTGAACAAGACTCCAGCTCAACTCCTGTCAATAAATGTTCACTGAATAAACAAGTGAATAAATAAATGACCCTAAACATGCAATTCTGCAACCATTCTGAATAAATATGTACTTGTAGTTCTGGGACCATTCAAATATGAGATTACTGCAGACATGAAAATATAACAGGAAAGACCTTAAACCAGTGGTTCCTAACAGAAGGCGATTTTACCCTCCAGGGAACATTTGGCAATGTCTAGAGACATTTTGGTTGTCACAACCGGGGAGAGGCTACTGGCATCTAGCAGGTAAAGGCCAGGGATGCTGCTAAACATCCTTCACTGCATAGGACAATCTCCTACAACAAAGAAATATTCATTTCAAAATGTCAATAGTATCAAGGTAGAGAAACTCTGACCTAAATATTAGTTTTTAAATTCCAGGAGTCATAGATTAGAGTAAAGAGAGAGTACTAAAGTAGATAATAATCCAAATATGTAAGGTATTTAAAAGTCCTTTTACTTACATTTTCTAGGCCAGCATGTGAAATCTGAATTCTGACGTCTAAAAGATAACAAAGCTATCTCTAAAGCTTGCAGGGGCTAAATGTCTATTATATGTGTAAGTTTAGAGGTAGGAGCTAGATCACATAGGGTCATGTTGAAGACAGGTTGTACAAAGAAGCTGTTCAATAAATGTTAAAGACTCAACAAGACAAAATTAACTGGACAAATAAACAAAACATTAATCATAGGCTGGTAGCTCCCAGTTTCTCAGGAGTTTCATAGATTTGTGTGTCGTCAACTAACAGTCAGAACTGGGCAGGCCAGGCAAACAGGCTAAGGAAAACCAGGGCACAGGCTGTAGCCTGAATGCCCAGGAATAATGTCGGTTTCCCTAAAACGACACCACAAGCTTAGGAGACAAGGGGTGATAATGAAAAAAAACCGAAATAGACATGAAAGGGGAAAGTATAAAAGAACTCAAATAAGCATAAGCCTAGGAAGTAGAGTAAGGACTAGCCGTAGCCGGAAAGGCAAAGGGAGGAAATCAGGTTGTTTTCTCAACTGATCTTCGTAATAAAAAGGGACGGAGTTACATCAAATTAAAATCAATAAATAAGACTACTCTGAAGAATTTCTGTTTTGATGATTCACTACATATATGTTGTACTGATTTTTTAAAAATGAATATTCAATGTAAAAATGCTCTTTGTTTTCTAAGACCTAGTAGCTTTATGACCAAAGAACTGGACTTCCGAGTTCTGTGGTCATAAAGCATCAGTGACCTCCAAATTCACAATTTCGTGCCAGCTGAAACAGCCTATACATTTCCAGATACTAAAAAAAAAAACTGTCCTAAACCACCTGTCAAAATACTCGAGGAGGAGTGAAGTATGGCAGCGGGATGACAGTATATGCCTGACAGAACCTCTCTCCCCAGGAATTACAGCATTTCAGTTCACTTGCTAATTATCTCCTGAAAAGCTTAGCACGAGTCCTTTTGAAGCTCCATCTGCTGCTGAATAAAGTTTGGGAGTGTTAATGGTCTATTTATTTTACAAATGCCAATCCTGTTAAATGCTGGATAGCCCATGAAGTTCATAAAAGTGGGGCACATGGTCCTTCACACAACTCATACAAGATGGATATAAATTAATTTCTCAGAGTCACAGTAATTGTATTTCAGTTGCATTAAAAAGTATCATAGAACCTAAGAGATTGTTTTTGTAATTTTAAATACTATTGCTTATTTTGTGAAAAAAAGACCTGAACATGGTTAAGAACACTAAGAGGCTGATAACATTTGACACAATTTATTAAAGAACATCCTATTCTCTGAATCCTTTTTCCTGAATTAAAACATTTTTAAAGCATAAACAGACTTATTTGGAGGAAGTGTGGCTCGTGTTTTCCCAGAAGAGTAATAAGGTAATTAAAAAGCATACTTTCTCACATTAAAGGTACTCATTATATAATGTAAAACTTAAGCTACACGCAATCTGTTTCACTATCATATTGGGAAGAATGAAAATAATTTGTTGATAGAAGAAAATTGTTCACCCCAACCTGATTACCCATACTGAAGAAAAAAGGGTAAATAATATTTGTACATTAAAATTGACAGTCTATTCACAAGTAGATGAATATACCGAAGTAATCAACACAATGAAAGCTTAGTATATATCTAGAACAGGAGAAAAGGATACCAAGATTCCTGATATCCATTCCCAGCTCTTTCAATGACCTCTCTGTAATATTAGCCTAATCATTAAGTCCATCGTTACCTCCCGTTCCTCATCTAAAAGAATGGGGGAAAAGGGAGATACTGCTCTCTAAATGCAGTGTTTCACAATTGTGAGTAGGTGAGGTTTCATAGGAATCAAGAGGTCTCTGGCTGAAAAGGAAGATCACCAGAAACAAAGCCTGGTGGCAAATACTATTCAACCAGTTTTGACCTACAAAATGGAAATTTCCGTGGTTCACTAATACTTACAAAACCTGAGAATCTGGGATAATTTTATACCACAAAACAATAGGTTACTTGATTACAAACAAAAGAAAGGCCAAAACAAAACAAAATAATCCCCAAACAAGGTAAACTTTAATTTTATCAAGAATTTCATCACTTAAAACTCAAAAGAAGCCAGGCACAGTGGCACATGCCTGTAATCCCAGCTATTTAGGAAGCGGAGGCTGGAAGATTACCGGAACCCAGGAGTTTGAGTCCAGCCTACAGAACATAGCAAAACCCCAACTCTAAAAATCAAACAAACGAACAAACAAACAAAAACATCTCAAACAATATCAACAGTAGAAAGGATAAATTGTGGTAGGCTCATACAACAGAAGACTATACGGCAATGAAAGGAAAACTGACATTGTAAGCAACAATATGGATGTATCTCAGACAATGTTGAGCAAATGAAGCCACATCAAAAGATTATATAGTGTATAATTCCGTTTATATGTAGTCCAAAACAGCAAAACTAATTGATGGTATTAGATGTCAGAATAGCAGTTACCTTTGAGGGATGAATCATAATCTAGGAGGAGATACCAGGAAACCTGCTAGGTGCTGGAAATGTTCTCTATCTGTTCTGGGCAATGGTTATGTATGTACAAAGTCATTGGCCTGCACATTTAAGACTTGTAAACTTTATTTAAGTTACACTTTAATTTTTTTAAGGATGTATAAAATCAGTATCCTTAAAAATATATTTATTGCTCAATTTGTCCACACTATAACAGATAATCTATTAACTATAGTATCTCTAAATTCAATAGCAACCAATGTAGCTTATCAACTTTAAGAAAATGAGACGAAAGGCACTGCTAATGTCATTCAGGAATTCAGAAACTTGACTGTACTTTAGGATTCCTAAAAATTTCACAGTCCCAGGTAAGAGCAATTCAGTGTTGCTCTATTAGTAACTTATAATGGGACACTGTTGTTTTGGGGTCAGAAACTTGTATGTTTGTTGTTTTTACAGTTAGAAATATACAGAGTAGTCTAGATACCCTTGATGGTGATGGTTGTGGTAAGAGTGAGCATTATGCATCATCTAAAACAACACTGAATGTGCCAGAAACAAACATGGCTTTCCCTTGGGATGGACAAAACTCCTAACTGTGGTCTATGAGGTCACTCTCGGTCAGATCCTTCTGCCTCTGCAGCCTCACCTCACACTGTGTTCCTCAGTTTCTCCACTTCAGCCTTCTCTCACTTTGACCATATCTCATCCTTACCATGCTCTCTCCGAGCATACTTCTTCACATGCTGCTCTCTGTGTCTGCTGGGCCCTTCTATCCCTCTTTTTCTTAGATTAATACCCACTCATCTTTCAGTTCAAATAGCACTTGGTCAGGAAGCCTTCCTTAACTCTTTCATTTTAGAACCTCATAACACCTTATATCTCTTCTTCGAAGTCCTTTATCATGGTTGCAGGTTTATATTTGTTGTATGACAGACTTCCTCAACAATGAAATTATAAGCTTTTTTACAACATACATCTGTGTTTGGTTTTGCTCATTCACTATCCTGCTTATGAAAGGGTGGCCAGAGAAGTAGACAAGGGAAGAGAATATTTGAGAGGAAAGAAAGGGTAAAAGACTTAGTTGCCCGACCACTGTGGAAAAAATAATCCCAGGAAGGCAAAAGAAAAATGAAACAATTAGTGATGTTGAAGACAAGTTTTAATGGTAAGTTTTAATGGAAGTACCTGCCGCTGTAGAACAAATAGGAGCTATGTGCCTAGGTATATTCATCCTGTATGGCCTAACACTGGCCTTAAGACTTTCGTTTCCAGTATTTTTAAACATTCATCTTTGATATAAAGACACTTCATTTCTGGAATGACTCATTAATCACTTCTTACATCACATACAAAATAAAGCCAATAGGAAATCATAAATGAACATAATCTTATATGGTTTCTCACAGCATTTTGTTAATGAATGAACTAGATGTCTTCTATTTTGAAAACAACAAATTTATATTCAAGTGAAATAGGATTTTCCCAGGTAAAAATTATCACATACTTGCCTGTGATTAAAAACCTAAAAACTAACACTTGAGCAAACCATCAGATAATGTGACACAGATATTAAATGAAATCTTGAGGTTGGGTTTTGTGGCTCAAATCAGTGTACAGTCACTATAATAGTGAGCTGATTTTCCTAGTAGTTGACAATATGGGCTTTGGAATGGAGCTGTCTGGTTTGAATCTTGGCTCTGTTTATTAATAGCTATAACCCTGACCAAGTTACATAACTTCTTTGTGCTATAGTTTCCTTATCTGTAAAATGGGATGATAATAATAATACATACTTCGTAGTACTGTTGTAAGGATTTTAAAAGTTAGTATGTGTGAAGTGCTGAGAACAGTGCTGGACTATAAGTAAGCAGCCTCTGTTAACTATTATTAGTATCACATTAAATATTATATTCAGCTCCTACAGAAACACCACATGGAAAAATGTACATAGGGAAATATTTTGAATCATTAAATTTGAATTCCAAGGCAAATTTCATGTTAATAAGGTAATTAATCTATATTTTAGAATCAAGATTTTAGTGGCTTTAGTATAATAAACCCTCTTTTTTTTTTTAAATCCCAGAAGCTAAAGTAGAACCTTCTTTTTTTTTTTTTTTTTTTTTTTTTGTGACAGGGTCTCAATCTGTGACCAAGGCTGGAGTGCAGTGGCAATTCTGGCTCACTGCAACCTCTGACACCTGGGCGCTCAAGTGATACTCCTGCCTCAGCCTTCCAAGTAGCTGGGACTACAGGCGCAGGCCACCATGCCCGGCTAATTTTTTAATTTTTTGTAGAGATGGGGTTTTGCTGTGTTGCCCAGGTTGGTCTCGAACTCCTGAGCTCAGGTAATCCATCTGCTCTCTGCCTCACAAAGTGCTGGGATTACAAGTGTGAGCCACTGCACCCAGCCTGAGAACCTTCCTCTTTAAAAGGCCATGAGAAGTCAAAAAAAACCTTTTCTGATTTGATTCCATTTTTAAACAGCAGAGATAGCATATACTAATAAGTCAAAAGTGGGTAAGATATTACATAGGAAGTGATTTCAGAAACAAGTAATTGCTTCATTCCTGAAATATAAAATAATGAGTCTGTTCTATATTTGTAACAATTTTTAGAGCCGAAAAAAAAATGAACACATTTCCATCAGTACTCTTACCACAATCAAGTTCTGCTAACCAGAAAGAAGAACATGGCCATCTTAGATATCAATGAATCGTGAGGGAATGACCAGGGGAGAGGAGGGCATGTTTTCAGCTTAACTCTCTACATGAAGTTTCTGGCTGTCCAAATTGGGTTTTTCTGATATCGCAGTGAAATGCTGGGCACCGGGCTCTAGAATGATTTCAACTAGTTAAGTACTATATAAGAGAGAAAGTAGTCTGAAAAATGACTCAGTTATTTTTAAAGGAATTGTAAATGAGAGGCCTGAATGGTCTCAAATGGCTATTTGAACTTTATTGTACTATAGAAATTCACTGCCAAATTATTTACCTCAGGGTTTGCAAACATACAGGGTTGGACTGATAAATGTACCGCCACTAAATTATAGGAAGGGAAATGAGACAAGAGGAGTGGGTCTACTACTTTCTAAAGTATCTCTTCTCAAACTTCTAACTCAACATGGTGACATATCAAGAGATCACTCTGCCTGACTAAATGATCAGAGTATCTGCTTTCTAATACTAATATTATTTTATTTGTATCTCTACAATGATTGTTACGGTTTGGGAAAATAATTTTAATCTATGTGATTTCTCAATTAAATAATGTGCACTGTGACAGAAATCTACATTTTTCTTCAAGGCACTGATTCTATGGAGAAGAAGATGTTGCCCTCCCCCACCCCCCTGCCCAATTGTGATTTTTAGTTGTCACAATTATGGGGTCGGGGCAGAGAACAGCATCCCACAAGGAATAATTATCTTGTCCAAAGTTAACAGTGCTAGGCTGGGCACAGTGGCTCATGCCTGTAATCCCAGCACTTTGGGAAGCCGAGGTGGGAGGATCACCTGAGGTCAGGAGTTCCGACCAGCCTGACCAACATGGTGAACCATGTAGAGTTTAGTAGAGTTTAGTCTCTACTAAAACTACAAAAATTTGCCGGGCGTGGTGGTGTGCGTCCGTAATCCCAGTTACTCGGGAGGTCGAGGCACGAGAATCGCTTGAACCCAGGAGGTGGAGATTGCAGTGAGCAGAGACAGCGCCATTGCACTCCAGCCTGGGTGACAGGTGTCTCAAAAACAACAACAACAACAAAGTTAATGGTGCTGAGGTTGACAAACCTTGCTCCATATTTAGGAGGTATGGTACTTTTAAGTAACTTTTGACATTTTAATTGTGTTTCAGGACGAAAGTAGCATCTACATCAAATCACATTTTTTAAAACTCTAACGCCAATTAAAGTTGCCTTTTCAATCTTAGCTCCTATAACTATGTTTCCTGTCAACATAAATGAGATACATCGCGGGCAATGTCATGACTGCACAAATCAACTCTGTATAACATTGAACATGAAATAAAACAGTATAAAATTAAAATCATGTTTTCACTGGCAAGGGGTTTGGTTTTTCAGTTAGAGTGCTCATAGAAAAATAGTCTATTAGGTACTGCATTGTTTTAAAATTTAAAATTCCGGCCTTATTTTGGCACTAGTTTGAGGAGTAGGTATTTCCCTTTACTCCGTTGTTCTTCGTCATAATTCTGAACTGTCAAAACCCTGCCTTGCAAAAATGTTTGCGTACAGAATCAAATGCTGGGAAAATGGCCTAGAAAATTACTCTAAGATTACGTAAGGTTTTTTTTTTTTTTTTAATGGCTAACACGCATAGCGATTTACAAATAGTAAGAGTCAAGTTCTGTGCTCCCAGAGATCGAACTGAATTTTTAAAAATGCAGGTAAACTTTCAGACTTTCTGACCTGGGGTCTGTTTAAAGACCCATGTTTTACCCTTGGTATAATCTGTACTGTAAAATGGCCTATTATAATATCAACTCAAAATGTTCTCACTGTTTAAGAACAAAAGCATACACACACAAATATACACAGTATAAATACTGAAATACAGATGTGTTCTTTCACTTAGCTTATTTTTTCTGACTATTCTAGAAAATTATGAAGCTTAATCACACACCTCGCGTGTTTTGAAAATAAGATTTAACAATCTTTGGATTGTACCTTTGTAGGACCAGCAACCGGTCTATTATTATAATATTTTTCACGCGATTCCACAGCATGTACTTACTGATAATAAGTGACGAAAGGAAAAGGGGCCGATTTCTCTCTTCCCTCCGTAGGCTTTTCGCGAGCGCCTCCTGAGCGCCCCGCAGGGGTCGGGACGCAGGGTGGAGTCCCGAGCGGCGCGCCCAGCCGGTAGCTACCATTACCTGGACCCCGGGCGGCGGGACCCCGGTCCGCCCCGCACCCCCGCCGCGGCCAGCCCTTCCCTGCACTCACCCGTCACGCGAATGGACTCCAGCATCGTTCCCCCGAGGCCCGGGGCGGCGGGCTCCGCGGGCTCAGGGGAAAGGGCCGCGCAGGGGCGGGCCAGGCGGCCCCTAGTCTCTGACCCGGGCCTCAGTGGAGGGTGCGCGGCGGGAGGCGGCTGTCCGCTACCTGGAGCAGGATAAGGAGGGTAATGGCGGACGAAGACGTACGGACACTGACTGTGAGCAGCGCTTCCACCAGCCCGCAGATGCTGGAAGATACACACGGCGGCCCTACGGTGCCCGGCAGCGCTTAGAACCTGCCACCGTGACGTAGCAGCTGCGCCGGTTGCTAGGAAACTGCCCCCGGGGTCCGCGCGCGCTGCGCTTCCCGGAGCCTGCGCGCCGCTGGGGGCGCTAGTGCGACGAAGGCCGGCGGGCAGCGAGAGAGAGTGGGAGGAACTACAACTCCCGGCGTGCGCAGCGCGGGCTAGTGTCTCCAGGGCTTGTGGCTGTGCCCGCGAGCGGCTGGGGTCTCCCGCTAGTCGGATAACGCATGTTGACTGATCTTTCAGAGACGTTTGTACCCGTTTAAAGGGGACTGAACTCCATGGTGCGCTGTGACACTCGGCCCTAACTGCAAATAGCAAAGCCAGTCCCGCTTAGGAGGTGCGGGGAAGCTAAAACACCTTTAGGTTGAGCTAGTAAGAGTGAAAAGTGCAAGAGGCTCAATGACCACTTGACAGTACCCCAGCATACAATCCTTAATACTGAAATTCACACTGTAGCTTGTGATTCTGCAATTGATAAGGGCTTAATGTTATTTTCAGTTTATTATTCATTTTCACATTAGCAAGTGTGAAAATTTAATCTTTTACAATAACTGGGAGGCAGGCCGCGGTGGCTCATGTCTGTAATCCTCGCACTTTGGGAGGCCAAGGCGGGTGGATCGTTGGAGGCCAGGAGTTGGAGACCAGCCTGGGCCACATGGCGAAAATTCAACTCTACTAAAAACACAAAAAATTAACAAATCGTGGTGGCGCACTTCTGTAGTCCCAGCTACTCGGGAGGCCGAGGCGGGAGGACTGCTTGAGTCTGGGAGGTGAGCATGCAGTGGGCCATGGTCGCGCCACTGCAGCACTCCAGCCTGGGTGACACCGTGAAACTTAAAAAAAAAAAAAACCAGTGGGAATGGGAAATGTAGACTAAACCATTCAACATACATTTTTTGAGACCCTAACGTGTGCAAGGTTCTGAGTCAGGCTTTGAGGACATCAAGGGGAATGAAATAAGCCTAGTGGAGCTTACAGTCTAGGAAGAGCTCATGAGATAGTGCTGGCAACTGTCAGTCTTCAGACAGTTACATCTCGTCTTCATCCTCAAGGCTGAGGTAAGACATGGAAATAATGGGGTGTGTTTTCAAACTCAGGAACAAAAGAAAGTTGAATATCAGGACCGTCAAACTCTGAGAATGTCAGACAACTTGTGAGAAATTGTTTATTTTTCATCACTTAGGAGAGAACAGTGGAAATGTAACTATATCACAAATACTGGATAACCTCACTTCATATTCTGTCTTCAAATCCTGTGAATACTATCTTCGAAATACATCCAGAGTCTAGCCACTTGCTACCACTCTGGTTCAAGCCACCACCACCTCTTGTCTGGATTATAGCAGTCTTCTAGACCGTCTCTGTATTCCCACCCTACCCTCTTTCACACTGTTCTCAAAACTCAGTGGCCAGAGTGAACCTGTGAAAAAATCAGATCATGTCACTCTGTTCAAAACCTTCAGTGGCTTCCTTTCCTGTGAAGTCCTTTATGACCTAGCCTCCTGTCACCTCTTTGATCTCATCTCCAACTACTTCCTCCCCCATAGACACACTGGCCTCCTTGATATTCCTCAATTCCAGGCACTATTTCACCTCAAGGCCTTTGCAACTTGGAATTCTCCCCGCATGGAATGTTCTACCCTCAGATATCTGCAGGACTATCTCCCTTGCTTCCTCAGGACTTAACCCAAATGTCACTTCTTCGTGAACCCTTCCCTGGCCACTCTATTTAAAATTCTACTCCTTCATATTTCCTATAGCCTTTCTCTGCTTTATTTTTTTACTTAGCACTTAACATTGTCTAATTTATTACATATTTTATTGATTTATCATGACTATTGTCTGATATTTTATCCCTAGAATAAAATTTCCACAAGTGCAGTGATTTTTGTTTGTTCACTGCTATATCCCCGCACCAAGAAGAGTGACTGGCACGTAGCAGGCCCTCAGTAAATACTTGTGAATTAATGAATAAGTAGACAATAGAAAGTGTGTGCATTTATAATGATAACTAAAATAATATGGAATTATATCAAATGGACCAATAGATGAAGAACAAATCTGCTTTGGGTTAAAACACTTGCTATAGTAATGAGCAATGAATCTGTTGCATTTGTAAGAGTAGTAATTCTTGCAACATATGTCCTAAGGAAAAAGGCTCTAAATGAACCATGCTGTTGGCTTCCTTATATACCCAGAATTCTGAAAGCTGTTTTCCAAGTTTGCTATAAATGCATCTATACCTCTACAAATTTCTAGTTTTTAAACTGCAGTTTAAGAGCAGTTTAAGAGCTATTTCTCAAAAAAGTCTGTCACTGTAGTTTAAGAGCTATTTCTCAAAAAAGAAAGCCTCCTAAAAGATGTTACCAAGTCATATGTTCAGTGTCTGTGCAGTTTACTCTGAATGCTTTTACTAAAGTATGTTTAATCATATTGCCTATTTTCATTATATTTTAAGTAACCAAGATATATATTATCTTCCTGATTCCACAGGTATTTATTTATATAGAAGACACTGGGCTTGGTGTTTTTGGAGTATATAACAAAACATGATACCTATCCTCAAGGAAAGTCCTGACTAGTAGGGAAGATTTTCTTTTTTTTTTTCTTTTTTTTTTTTGAGACGGAGTCTCGCTCTGTTGCCCAGGCTGGAGTGCAGTGGCCGGATCTCAGCTCACTGCGAGCTCCATTTCTCAGGTTTACGCCATTCTCCTGCCTCAGCCTCCCGAGTAGCTGGGACTACAGGCGCCTGCCACGTCGCCCGGCTAGTTTTTTGTATTTTTTAGTAGAGACGGGGTTTCACCGTGTTAGCCAAGATGGTCTTGATCTCCTGACCTCGTGATCCACCCGTCTCGGCCTCCCAAAGTGCTGGGATTACAGGCTTGAGCCACTGCGCCCGGCTGGGAAGATTTTCTATAAAATACATGCGTGTGTGTATATATATGTACATGCATACATACATATAAAAATTAGAAAATGTTGTGTATTCTAATTTCAACATGTCATTAAAATTAAGAATGCCAAAAATAAACAAATTTGATGCCTCTGTAGTTAGCCTACCTGAAATATTATTTCATTCTTTACTTTTATAATTATTTTTATGTTCACCCTACCAATATTTTCCTGTGGACCATTTTTAAATTTCTTTAGTGATAAGTACCATATAAAGGTATTTATCAATGTAATCAAAACATTTAAAAAATCTATTATCTGTGTATTATTGAAGCACTCTTGCTAACAAATTCATGAATACAAAGAGTTTATCCTATTTCTTATAAAACTTGTACTGTTACCAGCTCCTTTTACTATTCCCATCTATGCAATTATTCACCCTCATCAAGCTTTCTGCATGTGCTTTGTTAATTACTGATTTGTGCTATGCCTGCTTAGTGTTTCCATTGGGTTCAGCATCTGCAGCTGTCCAGTTGGCTGCTTTTCAGTCAGCATTGTTTTTACATATCCACAAGAACAATGAACAATCTCATCTTTCTGAGAAATTTTCCTTTATACCTGTTTCTACATTAACCATTAATATTGAGACAAGATGATTGACTTAATTATGTTACTGCTCCATTTTTAGGGCACTAATTTCAAGATCAAGTTAGGAATTTATTAAAATTGCTTTTGTTTTTATTTTTATTTATTTATTTTTTCTTTTGGACAGAGTTTTGCTCTTTTTTTTGCTCAGGCTGGAGTGCAGTGGCGTGATCTTGGCTCACTGCAAACTCTGCCTCCTGGGTTCAAGTGATTCTCCTGCCTCAGCCTCCTGAGCAGCTGGGATTATAGGTGTGCGCCACCATGCCCGACTAATTTTGTATTTTTAGTAGAGACAGGGTTTCACTATGTTGGCCAGGCTGGTCTCAAACTCCTGACCTCAGGTGATCTGCCCGCCTCAGCCTCACAAAGTGCTAGGATTATAGGCGTGAGTCACTGTCCCTGGCCATTAAAACTGATTTTAATAATTTATGTTTACCTTTAAGGATGCCCTTCACCCTTTTTAAAGTTTTATTAAACTTAAATTTTTCAATAATAACCAAAAATGCCATTGCAGTTGTCTTGCTGAGATATACTCACTTTCCTTTTATGGTCATCTTTATGTATTCTAGAAGCATTGTATTGTGGATCATTTTGATTAATGAATATCTGTAAGGATTATTTCCATTTAATTTTAGATTTAAAATAATAGAAAAATAGGTGTTTTGATAGAAATATTGTTATTTTATGTGTGGCAGGATTGTTATGTTATAGGTAAAGAACTTATTTATTTTATTTCATTTTTTGTTTTGGGACAGGGGCTCACTCTGTCACCCAGGTTGGAGTGCAATGGCATGATCATGGTTCATGATCTTACCTAAGCCTCAGCCTCCCGAGTAGCTGAGACTACAGGCATGTGCCACCAGGCCAGGCGAAATTTTTATTTTTATTTTGTAGAGTTGGGGTTTTGCCATGTTGCCAGGCTGTTTTTGAACTCCTGGACTCAAGCAATCTGACTGCCTCGGCCTCCCAAAATGCTAGGATTACAGATGTGAGCCACCATGCCCAGTAATTAACTATTTTTTTTTACTTCGTCAGTGCTTGTTTAATTAACTACTCATGTTTATCTGTATATTGTTTTTACATAGTAGAACAGATGTTGACAAATGTTTATTTACTATTCATAAGTTAGTTGATGGAGTTTTGGTATAAAAAAAGTAAAAAAAGGTAAGTTATACCATCTGTGTGTAATAAGAGAAGATCATTTTCTTTTTAGAAAAAGAGATCAACATCCTGCTTGTTAAAGATTCAGGAGAGGTTTGATCGTTTACCTTGATAGGGCATAAAGGCTAGTAAAGACCAAGAAAGAGGAAGAGAGAGATGGGGTCTGGACAAGGCTGCCAGAAAGTGTTGCTACTGGAAGAAAAGTATATTATTTCACTTTTTTTTTTTTTTCCAGAGACAGGGTCTCACTCTGTCGCCAAGGCT